CCCCCCCCCCCCCACCTTATGAAGAATGAGGGCTCTATTTATAGTTTTTCTGGAGTGGCATAGCTCGTAAATAGGTGTGAGATCAAGGGCGAACAGGGAGTGGTCGAATTGACGGCTGATGTTGAATCCCTTGATCATACACCGTTCGTCAGACATTTGAAGGCCTTAGTGATGTCAGAATCCGGCGATCTTGGGCTGATCAGCAATAATTCAACTTCAAGAAAATGCATCATAAAGGAGATCAATGCATAGTGAACATAACAAATTGATTATCAAGATTTATTGAACAAGTTTTAAACAAATACAATTTGCATGTGATCAAGATCATTTGACCCCAGGCAAGCATGCTAATTTGTTCGTGAACATCATGGATGACAAATATCCTATGAATACACTCAAGGAGTCCTCGACGAATGAATTCAAGATGACTGTGATGAATGTATTAATAGGATTTGCAAGCCGCAACCTAAAATTTCCAACATATATTAAAAGATTATCATTGTCAATTAAAGCGCAAGCATCAACATATTACACGAGCAAGGATGGGTACATCTCACCTTATAAATAAGAATGCATAACATGCAATAGATGCCAACATCTACAAACACATAGCAGGAGATTCGTTGATGCACAACAATCTACCTATAGAAAAAAATAAGTTGTGCGTGACAATCTACGTGTATAAAACGGGTAAATGACTATAGTGAGATGACACACAATTGGATCCGCAACACTCACACGAGTGGGCAGAAGGCATCTACAAGCTCTCAAATAGAGCATCACACACATTGAAATGGAAGTTGCCCGTACAATTGATCAGCATTAAATATTTTAAATTATCCCCACACATATATTGTAACATGTATACACAAAAATACCGAAGTGCGCGTCCTCGCCTTAATACACTGATGAAGTGTAAATGTACATGCAAGTATGTAAGCATAATACAGGAAAATACAAGTGCAATTATATACTCGCAATGGCCCTAACGAGCGTGTTAAGAGTTCACACATAATAAAGGTAAACAGTAGACGATGGACCCGATCCTCTGTCAACAAGTATACATAGTCGACAATATTCAATTAGTGAAATATAAATGCCCATAAATACCTCGATGATGGCCATGTTGAACATCGACATCAACTGGAGGTGTTAATTCCAAATATTCAAAATGCCTCCCAAACGTCCATCAAAATTCAAAACTCCAAGAAAATATCAAAACTTGAAATATTTAAAAATAAAATAAGCCTTCAAATACTTAAAGTAAAATTCATCCACCATTTGCAATAATTTATCGATGTGAACAAGTTTGAAAATATATTCAGCTCACAAAGGGCTAATGTTTAGTCGAGAATATCATATGATTCATTCTCAAACAGTATCTTGTCAGTAAGGAAGTGACATTAGTCCTCTGATTAGCAATTTTGCCGGATGGCTACGCAAATAACTCGTGGTTTGGCCGGACGGCCCAACGTGGTTAATGATTACAGTCGCGACCCTCTAACCTAGTGGCTTGGTCCAGCGACTCCACTATATTATGGTTATGATCATAGCCTATTTGTTCCCCAATGACATCATATTCACAAGATATGAATCAATATAATATAATTGATAGGGCACAATGTCCTATATTAGCTAAGGTGACTCAATATTTGTCCCCTTATGCAAATACTCATCTTAAGTCTACAAGGTACATTTGGATGAAGCAACCCATGATTGAGGACATGGATCCTTCTGTCTGGTTGGGTCGACTACCTCTTCTAGCTAAGTAGACCAATGACCACGATAGCCCGGGATGATGGAACCATGAGATCTTAATCGGACTCATCATTATTCCCCCACCATCCGCTTTAAGTGCAAGGTGGTGAATTTTTTATTTTAAATATTAAATTTTCAACAACTAAACCTACAATGCTACTAAATGCCAAATATATATATTAAGTATATGATTGATGACTAGCCTTAATTGAAAGTTCTCTCTTGTTATTGGGAGGGGTAATTAACTATAGGGGCATGTGCGTATAAGAAATCTGAACTCATATCATAAAGTGCTTGCGAAATGAGGGTGAAATATCTGGGTAGTGTCTTATTTCCAACCCAATATACCTTCTGAAAATTTACACTACAACTTAATTCGTTAAAACTCTCTCGAAAGATGGGAGGCCGGGGCGTGAATTTTCGGAGCCCACATTCTTTCAATAATAATCTCGATGGTGGCATGATGAATTTTCTAGTGGTCTGAAACATGCCCAATATACTCCCCCTTAAACCTCATATTTAGCCCCCATGGGCTGGATTGGCATGATGACTTCTCTAGTGGAGACTCAGGAGGACGACTGCTGGCATGATTCAACCACAAGCAACTCGCCAAACGATTATAGAGATGGTTATTGAATGAACGCATAAGGTTTTCATTTGAAAACATATAAATAAATTGTAGCTAAGTCCCTATAACCTGGTTCTCAACTTAAAGATTTGGACCTGTCGAAGTAGTTGTGAACAAGAAGACTCATTAAGCCATCTTCACTAGTTTTGAAAGCCATTTCTGCCCTTCCAAAGTATTGTGTTCTTCTTAGTTGAGACAAAAGACAATACATTCTTTATCATATCTGAAACATATGGTCAGTGTCTTTCCACCACTCACAGTTGACAAATGTATAAGAACCAAAGGGTGAAAAGGTTATGAATAAAATGCTGAAACAGATAAGGTTATATATCTTCTTTTGGAGGCATTGAAACTCTGCAATTCAATTCTTCACTGAATGAAGTGCCTTGTAGTGAGCTCTGCTTTCTCACCGTGCACCACCATGAGCACAAGGTAACATTTGCTTGAGCCAGTAACATTCAATATAAGAAACCTTCCTCAAAGCCAATTCATGAAAATTTTCTTCTGGTCTATTCTGACAGATTTATAAGCTACAGCCACAACTTGATTTTTCATACTCTGGGATCTGGATCTAGCTGGAAGGGATGGGCGAAATCTGGATGCTGTGGAGCTGGTGAATTTGGAACTGGAGATGTAGAATTTTCAGAAGGTTTGCCAGAGAAAAAACATAATGGTTCTTTTAGGGGAATAGATGGCTCAAACCTGTCATTTGGAACAGTTGATGCTGAAATAACTCAGGAAACAGCAGATTTCTTTGTCAGTGATGCAGAAGGTGATCCGGACCGCCCTTCAGAAGGTTATTCGTCTATTGGCGAAGCTACAGATGCTTTAAAACAAGGAAAGGTAAGACCTGGAATTAGTTCTATTTTAAAGGAAAATTATCTGTCAAAATCTGTGTGTGATTCTCCTTATTGGAAGCACTTGCTGTTTGCTTTTTAGCTGGAATTTAATTTTCAGAGAAGATTTGCGACAAAATCTGATGCAAAGCAACAAAATCTAAATAGTTTTTGGTTCAGTTCTTGATTAGAAAACATTACAAGAGCAAAAGCACTCTTGTTAACTATGTTCATTATCTTTTAGTTTGTGATTGCTGTAGATGATGAGAATGGTGAGCAAGGAGATCTTATAATGGCAGCAGCTCTGACAAACACCAAGAGTATTGCTTTCATCATTAAGCATGGATCTGGCATTGTATCAGTGGGAATGAAAGAGGAGGACCTGGAGAGACTTCTGATTCCATTATTGTCTCCCATTACTGAAGTTGAGAGCCTATCTGCTGCAGCTTCCACAGTCACAGTGGTATGTTTCATTCTTAGTTATATAAATGTGATGAGCATTCTTCTTCTTGAAGTTGTCATGCTCCACTAGAAGTAAAAATCATTATTTTCCAAGCATTTTTTTATGGTATAACCATAAAAATATTGGCATTTTAATCAAAATCGAACTTTATTAACTTATCAACTTATAATAAAGAACTAGTTAACAAAAATTTCTGATTGGAGCAGAGCTTTTTCTTAGGAAAAATGAGGATAGCGGTGTCTAAATTCTGAGAATAAAATTTCTTTTTTTATTCATACATAAAATAATATATTTCACAATTATATTTTGGTCATCTTCAAAAGCGAGTCTGATTCCGACCCTGATTATGTGGGACTAAGGTTTCATTTGAGGGAAAATTATTAGGTTCGAACACTGGACTAGTAGTACGCCCGGACACCAAAAAAGTGTCGTCACGTTGAGTGGACATGTGGATATTCAATAGGATTTAGTTTTTTACTTTATATATTTAATGTGTCCGCAGAACTTTAAGCCAAGCGCAACAAAAGCGTATGTAAAGCACAGTAAAAAAGCGCAACAAAAGAACAGTCAAAGCACAACTAAAGCGTAACTAAAGCGCAGGTAAAGCGCACAAAAAGTGCAATCAAAGTGCACTTAATGTGAAATTTTAAGTGGATCTGTGAGACAGCTTTCTAAAATATTTTTTCAGTATAAAAATTTTTAGTTAAAAAAAAATTTAACTAAAAATTTACTTTTTACAGTGAATGAAACCTAAATTAAAAGTCTCAAGTGTGTTGACACCATTTCCCTTTTAAGACAATGAGTTATTAAGTTCATTATCCAAAATCATTTTTTGTTAATAGATTTTGTTTATGTTAAGGACGCGAGAATCGGCACTTCAAGTGGAGTATCAGCCGAAGACAGAGCAAGAACAATTGTTGAGCTTTCGTCTCCCGACTCTAAGCCAGGAGATTTCAGAAGACCTGGTCATGTCTTTCCTCTCAAGTACAGAAAAGGTGGCGTTCTGAAGAGAGCTGGCCATACTGAAGCTTCAGTTGATCTGGTAATATTAGCAGGGTTACGCCCTGTGTCAGTGCTGTCCGCCATTGTTGATCCTGATGATGGTTCCATGGCAAAGCTCTCATTTTTGAAGAAATTTGCAGAGGAATATGATCTACCAATTATATCAATCACTGATCTTATAAGGTATATGTGTGTGGATGGTTGATATAAGATTTCTCTTACATGTTACTGATTAATCTATATATCCTTCCCTCTTTTTGCAAGGCTGCAGTGCTTAAAATATGATTTAATCATACAAATTTCTTTGTTAAATTCATATTTTTACACTTTTGACTGCTATCAAGTCCCTCAATGGTTGTGTTTGCAGGTACAGAAGAAAGAGGGAGAAACTAGTAGAGAAAATTGCAGTCTCTCGCCTGCCTACCAAATGGGGCTTGTTTCAGGCTTACTGTTACAGATCAAAGTTAGATGGTACAGAGCATATTGCTGTTGTCAAGGTATAATCTCTCGTTCAGCCCCACCTTACCTTTTCTGTTTTATATTTTTATTTCCTATTTTATGTTGATATTAAATGGTTTTTCTGGTTGCAGTAAATTTTCATTTTTTTATTTCTTCTGCATCATTGCAGCATTCATCGTGAAAAGTTAAAACTAATTAAGGATTTGTTTAATAGCACAATTAAACTAGCAAATGAATAGAAAGAAGATTCATAAATATATCCTCATATAGTTGAGATTAGGGTGATTATAATGATGAAAAACAGAAGTTATAAATACTTGCCTACTATTCCTCAGTCACTTTTAACAGTTCAACAGTAACAACAACATCAAGTCTTTATCCTATTATGTGGGGTCGGCTACATGAATTATTTTTCTCTATTGTGTCATGTTAAGAGTCAAATTCTCACTTGAATCTAATAAAGAAATATCATTTCTAATATTTTCTAATCAAGTCTTTTAGGTCTACCTCTACCTTTCTTAACATAAGTCAAATATAATGCATCTACTGCCCTAACAAGGTCATCGGAAGGCCGTCGTTTTACATGATGAAACCATCTAAGGCAACTCTCTCTAATCTTATCTATCACTGGAGCTACTCCTACCTTTTCACGGATATGCTCGTTTTGTATCCTATCTCTAAGAGTAAATCCACTCATCCACTTGAGCATCCTCATCTCAGCAACAGTTAACTTAATATTATGCTTCTCTTTTAATGGCCAAAATTATGCGCCAAAAAGCATTACAGGTCTCACCGCTATCTTATAAAATGTTCCCTTGAGTTTTAGTGGTTCTTTTCTATCACACAACAGACCCAAAGCATTCCTCCACTTCAACCATCCAACTTGAATTATACTAATAATATCCTATCTATTTCACCATTACTCTGAGTAGTAGACCTAAGATAACTAAAACGAGCACACCTATTAATGACTTGATTGCTCAAAGCCACCCCCCCCCGATCCATTACTACTAAAAATTACACTACATGTATTCGATTTTAGAGCTACTCAAATGAAATCCTTTAGACTCTAAGGTTGACCTCCATAATTCGAGTTTACCTTCAACTCCCTCTCTACTCAACAAAAAGCATACACTAGGGCACATCCTCTTGCAAATGTCTAGTATGAACATCCATGAATAAAGCAAAAAAGATAAGGGCTTAAGGCCAATCCTTGATGTAATTCAATAGTAATAGGAAAATACTTGGTCAAACCACCTTGTGTTTGAACACAAGTAACAAATCCTACAAGCATATCTCTAATGACTTGAATACAAGCATTATTAACACCTTTCTTTTTTAAGACTCTCCATAGCACTACTCTTGAAACTTTATTATATGTTTTCTCTAAATCAATAAATATCATACATAGATCCTCCTTATCCTCTCATTACTTTTAATGATTATAAGAAATAATATCGTGTCAATACCAAAGGCTTATTAAAGAGAACTTGAAGATTGTGTCCAGATGCCTTGAGTACAACAACAACAACATCATGCCTTTATTCCACTATGTGGGGTCGACTGCATGAATCCTTTTTCTCCATTATGACTTGTTAAATGTTAAATTCTCATTTAAATCTAATAAAGAAATGTTATTGTTAATATTTTCTAACCAAGTCTTTTTAGGTATGCCTCTATCTTTTTTAACATAAGTCAAATCTAATACATCTATTTTCCTAACCATGTCATCGAAAGGCCGCCATTTTATGTTACCAAACTATATAAGACAACTGTCTCTAATCTTATCTTCCACCAAAGCTACTCCAAAAAAAAGAGAGAAAGGAGAATTTACATGCTTACTACTCAAAACTATTTCATTTAAATATTTAATACTTAAACTTAACCATTTACTCAGATAACACTCAAAATTTTAAATAGCATAAAAAATACATAGCACCCTACAACACTCTATGTTATTCTATGTAAATAGTAATTTGAGTGTTAAATATGTGAAGCCCTCGTTTCACTCATAAATTCTTGGAGTTATCTTCATTTCATTTCCTCCATTGTTCCTTCAATCCAACCAACAAAATCAAAGAATTCCTACTCTACTTCTTGCCATCTTGGCCTTTATTTTTCTGAATAGAACAAACCTGAAACTCACAGGGTGATATTGGAGATGGGCAGGATGTTCTTGTCAGAGTCCACTCCGAATGCCTCACAGGAGACATACTTGGCTCAGCTCGATGTGACTGTGGGAATCAGCTCGATCTAGCGATGCAATTAATAGAACAGACAGGCCGAGGTGTTCTTGTTTATCTTCGAGGCCATGAAGGCAGAGGCATCGGACTTGGTCCCAAGCTTCGCGCCTATAACTTGCAGGACCTCGGCCATGATACTGTTCAAGCTAATCTGGAGCTTGGCTTGGCTGTTGATTCCAGAGAGTATGGATTTGGCGCACAGGTAATATTTCTTTTAGTTTTAATTCATTAACCAGCAGTTCTTTATGATTTGGTTTGATCAGCAAGGTTGACTAAAAATTTTATGTAAGCCTCATTATTCATTTATTTATTTACCTGAGTTTTTATTTTGATATTATTATGATATAATTCTTCATATATATAATATTAATATTAAAATAAATTTAATTATTTAAATTTATCATGATGTAGTTTATATATAAACATCATAAGGGGGTGTCAATAAATGACCCGAACTATCAGCCTGACTTGGAACAGACAAGAAAATCTGGGCTTAGAATAAACTCTTAATAAATTAGGTTCGGGTCTAGAATTCTGACTTGTTTATTAATTATAAATAGTTTGGGTTAGTTTAATTTGACTTGTGAATCCTTTTTTGTTACTCAAAATAATCCCTTTTTTTGTGAATTTTTTTTTTTTGGATTGTCGCATGATCTTCTTCTTTTTAATCATTTAATTTAAATTTTGTAGTTGATAAGTTATACAAAAAAAATTTTTGAAAACCAAAAAGAGTTTTCAAGCATTTGGGTTACTAGCGGGTCGGATTTTGGTCGACCTTTTTGACATGTTTATTAAATGGGTTGAGTTACAATGATTGGACTCAAGATAAGTCAATTTTGAGACAGATCCGAACCCAACCCGTTAACTTGATACTTAGGCTTCGTTTGGGACGGCTTTCTTCATGCTTTTTAAAGTAGTTTTTTAGTACAAAATTTAAAAATTTTATACTAAAAAGCCGCTTTAAAAAGCAGGAAGACAACCGTCCCAAACGAAGCCTTAGGCTTCATTTGGGATGACTTTCTTACTGCTTCATAAAGCTGCTTTCTAGTTTAAAAAAATTAATTTTTGAACTAAAAAATTAATTTAAGAAACAGTAAAAAAACAGTCCCAAACTAAACCTTAAGCATCGTAAATAAAAATTTCATAATTATTAACTTTTTTTTTTGTCAATTATTGTGCAGATACTAAGGGATATTGGTGTCAGAACGATGCGATTAATGACAAACAATCCGGCTAAGTTTATTGGGCTCAAGGGTTATGGGCTTGCAGTCATAGGTAGGATTCCAGTTATCACTCCCATTACCAAGGAAAATCAAAGATATTTGGAGACGAAGCGCATCAAGATGGGCCACGTGTATGGTTCTGATCTACCAGGGAGTAATCCAGGATTTTCGGAGCCTGGCATTGAAAATAATTCAGATTTCTCCAACCAGTAATTGACAGATGGCACCCATTCTTTGTCATAATTGGTTAGATGATTTCTTCATTTGAGTATTTTACAATTATTTAAAACCTACCCAATTTGATCTTGCAATTGTTAGGAATATTTATGTAATAATCAAGTTGACAATAATTGATAAAAAAAATTTATTTTTAACTTGCTCGTACATTGTGCTAGGGAAAAATAGAGTAATGTATTATTTGATTAAAATAAAAATCAAACATAATTGATCATATTTGATTAGTTTCATTTAGTTTGATTTTAAAATGAACTTTTTGACTTTTGGTTTAAAAATTTTTAAATATTTAATTATTACTTATTGGATCAATTTTGATCTTTGTTAAAGGGAAGAAACCAAGCACCAAGTTTATAATTTGAGGTGATCCAACAATCCAGGCTATGGTATTTGCAACTCTATTACGTAAATGTTTTTGAATCATTGGCGAAAAGTTATTTTTTACAATCACAGTAACGAAATTATTTTTTCTACAATAACTTCACAACCAACTTTATAAAATGATGTAATCGTTCCAAATAAACCCTTAATTTTTTGTTGATTAAAGTCCATTATTCTCTCCAATTCGACTATCAATATTGAATTTTAAGCATGATAAAATGAAAATGAAAGAAATTTTTTATCAAACTTTTCATAATCTTAAATTTTTAGTCGTAAAAATTATGATCACATCTGGCCATTCAAAAGCAAATACGTACATGGCTGAGATGAGCTATGGTAAACCACTCAGGCCTCAGCAATCAGCAACTTACTCCCACTCAATAGTCCAAAATTTGTGGATCGCTCTAGATCTCAACGGTTTGATTCTATTCAATCACAACGCTCCTCTTCTCTCTATTTATTCCTTTCCGCACTTCTAAGTTCAAATTACAAAATCCCTCCTTTCCTATCAACCTTTCACCTACGTCCCCAAATCACCAACTCCAATGGTGTCGAAGCCAAAGAAGAAGCCCGCTGTTGAGAAGCCTGCATAAGAGAAAGAGAAGAAAGTAGAGGTTGCGGATAAGGCCCCCACTGAAAAGAAGCCTTGGGTGGAGAAGCATCTTCTTGCTTCGAAGGAGGGCGACGGTGTTGGCAACAAGAGGAAGAAAAGGAAGACTAAAAGGGTATATATCTTCAAGGTTTTGAAGCAGGTCCATCCATATATTGGAATCTCGAGTAAGGTGAAGAGCATCATGAACTCATTCATTAATGATATATTTGAGAAGCTCGCCAATGAAGCCTCTCGCTTGCTCGATATAACAATCAGTTAACTATCACTTCCAGGGAGATCTAGACTTTGGTTTGTCTTGTGCTTCCCGATGAACTTTCGAAACATGTAGTTTTTGAGGTTAATAAGGTTTTTACTAAGTTTACTAGTTCTTAGATTTTGTTCTTCTTTCAAGCTATATGATGTTTTGCATGTATCCTTTTAAGTAGTTATAGTGTTTTGTTGTCATGCCACTTTTTTGGGCTTTTATTTTGGGTATGTAATTAAGTGGTAGGTAATATTGAGTATATATGCGGTTTATATATGCTGTGTTCTGAATTGATGATTAAATTAACTTTCGTTCTTATTTGCTTAGAATAATTTATGAATGAATTTGTTAAAGTTTGAGTAGGACATCAATGCTTAAATGTAATGGCTAAAAAGAAGATACAAGGTTTGTGATATTTAATAAGTGGATAGCATGGTGCAATGGGCTAAGATGACATACTTATTGGATGCAAGTTGAATAGAAAAAGATGTGCTAGCATCCAATTCTCTTGGGTTATGATAGAATGTTTATAGGCCATCGCCATCAATGCATCAATTCCATGCAAATTGAGAAGAAGAAGATATGTGTTCATGCTAGCACAACACTCGCGACCTTTGATAATTATAGTGTGGAGTTGATACCGACAAATATGTAGAATGATATATAAAATACTAAAAAAGAAGAGGCAAAGAGTAACCTAGCCTAATTGCAAACCTCCATTGCAGCGACAACATGAAGGTAATTCTTTCATTCATTAACAACTTTAATTGTAAACATTTGACAACTTTGTTATCACTTATGGCTTTATTGATCATATAATGATTGGAGCTATTGAAAGGGACTTAAAGGTTGTCTTCATGCATTCATTTCCTACATAGGCCCATTGCCCCACACGTTGTTAAGGATAGGGGTGTCAATATTTGACAATTGACATGAGCCGAATATTGACCCGAATCCGACCCTAAAATACTAGGTTATAGTCAACGGGTTGGGTTCAGGTTCAACAAACCGACCAGTTTCAAAAATTAGGTTGTGTTATAGATGACACGGAAACCCGAGAATTACCCGGAACTGACTTGACCCTACCCTAACTCCCACAATAAATGAAATCGGAAATCCCGCTTCCCGGCTTCCTGCAGTCGCGAGTCAACCTAGCCTCGTTGTTCGCCTCTCATGCGGCCCCTCCATCCCGCTGCCGGCGCTTGGTCTGTTCTTCAACTCGGCCTCGTCGTCTGCCTCTCCATGCGTAATGCGACGTCAGACGTGAGCTCCATATGTCCCATCAGTCCACCCGAGAGCAATCACCTGCGTGTAACGCGTGAGGACTCGACCCGATAAAATCTGTGTTACCGTGCCGGTCAACCCGGTAAACCAACAGGTCGGGTTCATATCTGAACTTTTGACCCATTTACAAAACCAGGTCGGGTTAGGATCAACCCGTTTGAACCCATATCAGTTCCTGATTCAACCAAAATCTAACCCGAAACTTGATTTTAACACTCCTAGTTAGGGAGATGCATTGAGAGTAGTTTAAGAGATGAGTGGTGAGTCAAAATTAATTAAAAAAATTGTAACTAGAAATTTAGTTCATTGAATTAATATATTACTAGAGACTAATATGATCATACACACAGTCGCACTACCAGTTTAGGCGATCAGTCAAATGCTTGCGTCTATGTATGAAGTTAGGGGTGGCAAAACAGGTTAACGAATCGTGTTCGTGTCGAACTTGAATCTGGTTAATCTGAATCCAATTTATTTAATAAGCAGCTCAAAAATGTGGACCCAAACATGACCCACTAGCAACCTGAATGACCCGAGTTCGACATAATACCCATTTTTATCAAACAAAATTTATAGCTAATTAATCAAATATTTTAGATTAATTGATCATAAAAAAAAAAATACCAACAAATAAAATAATTTAAGAAAAAATAATAATAAACTGGTCACTTTCTAGTCAAAATTGTAATGAAAGGTCAATTCCAACTAGACCTATTTAATAAATATGTCAGAATTTCAGATACAAATCCGACTTATTAATTGTTAAACTGTTTAACACAAATCAAGATTTTTCGAATTAGAACCTGGTCAGTTTGGCAAAGTTAGACCATTTATAGATAAAGCTGTAGCATTCAAAAATGAAGTTTTTTTTTTTTTTTTTGAGAGAAATCATCAAAGGTAAATTTATGCAAATAAAATAAAATTTGAGAATATCTCATTAAATTCAATGCTTTTCTTCTTAATCATTTTCTTTTAACTTTATATCTAATGACAAAATATTATGTTAAAATTTCATGATAAAATATGATTATGAGGAACTTTAAGATCTTTAGTCTATATTGAAATCAGTGCAATAATTTTTTTTTTTAATCTAAATCAGTGCAATAAATGAATAAATTATATTACGTTTATATCAAAGCAGATTCATTTAAAGCCGATCTTGATTAAAAATTTGATCACGACGTCCTGATCTAATTATTTTCTTTATCTTATTCTATATAATATGAGATAAGCTTTAGCTTCTTATACATACATAGCAACAAATAGGCATATTATAACTACTTATTTCAACAATTTAAGCTTCGTTTGAGATGACTTTTTGCTGTTTTCTAAAGTAATTTTTTAATACAAAAATTTATTGAACTAAAAAATTTTATATTAGAAAATAATTTTAGAAAGCATTCAGAAAGCCGCCTCAAATGAAGTCTTAGGTTTCGTTTGGGACGGCTTTTTTATTGCTTTTTAAAACGGAGTTGTAGTACAAATTTTTTAATTTTTGTACTAAAAATCCGTTTTCAGAAGCAATAAAAAAGCCGTCCCAAACGAAGCCTTAATTATGATCACGCAACAATTGCTTTAAATGGTTGCTCATCAAGTAACTCCAATTCAATATGATACTTTGGGTATTTTCTTATGTATAGTAGTAGGGAAATTATGATTTTAAGAGATGAGAGGTGAGTCAAAATTAATTAAAAAAATTGTAACTAGAAATTTGGTTCATTGAATTAATATATTAGTAGAGTAAAAAATTAAATAAAAGATTTTTAAAGAAGAATATTAATATTATGATTTGAAAAGTCATCTAATGAAAATCACAATCAAAACACTAATATCTTCAACACGAATGGTTAAAAAAAAAAAAATCTTCAATATGAATGGTATCAAAATATTATGAATAATTGATTTATCCCTTATAATTAATGCATTTGATTTTTAGGAGTTGTTTTTAAAACTTTTTAATTGAGAGATATTATGTAATATCACTCCATCTACATCCTCAACATAAAAAGTCAATGACATAGGATATGTTTACGACAACTTTCTGATTATTTTATTTTTAAGAAAGCAATTACAATTTCGCTTGGTTATTGTTTTTTAATTTTTTTTCAAAATTTATGTAATGAAAGTTATATTTTGCAACCATAATAATAAAATTGTTTTCTTCATGATAAATTGAAAACAAACTTTACAAAGCGCTACAGCTATTCCAAACAGACTCTAAATCAATTCAACAACGTTACACCAATTATTTTAATATCAACTTTCCTGATCAAGATCTGTGAAGATCCATTCTTGAAATGCAAGCCACATTTGGGATGAGAAGGAAAATCATAATGGTTTCAAGAATTTGGGCAGGAGAGAGAAGAAAATCATAGATTCATAAATTTGTGGTTGAAAGTTTTTTTTCATAATTTATTTATTTACCATTAATAAATAAATGAAAAGTATGTACTAAGATTAAATTATATATATTGTTGCGTCCTGGAGTATTCGCGGCGGTAGAGAAATATATAGT